AACCCGACCGGGGCTCGAACAAAGGACCCTCGGTCTCGCGCGCGGACGCCTAAACTCTAGACCACTGAGCGGGGATCCAATGGTGTATGTATCTAAATTCAAACAATTGCGCGACCATATATTGTCTACAGTGATTAACTGTCTTATACTCGATTTGGTTGCCCACTGCTGAGGAGTTCCATATTGGTTCGGAACGACTGTGTAGTGCCTTCTGGTTTTCAGTGGAGGTCTTATTAAAATCACTCCATAATATAAGCTATGAAATTTTAGCAATCTATACAAAACCACGATACTAATGTCATTTGATTCACTTATGAATAGAGACGAATAGAAACGACTTGAAGCACGGTACAGTGATGTATTAGTTTAAATTTTATGTTTTATATCAGGGAAGTAAAGCTGTAAGACTATGTAACAGGTTAACAACAATCTACGCTTTCTTGCCGATTTCAGCAAGTAACAATATTTTCTCATGATATAATAATCAGTGACATCTTTGATCCGTTTATTTACTTAATCCTAATTAAAGTGAACTTTCAGTTCTAAATGAACTCAGTGAACGTAATGTATCTCAGTCAATCTAACAGATACAAATTTACACTATACTTTTAATGGTTTTAAACTTGAAATAAACACCAGACTACCTGTTATTTTTATATATCAAACACTTTCAGCAATCGTTTATCACATCAGTGGAATATAAGAGATTGTATCATACACAAACCTCTATCCGACTCTACAAGTGATGCACCGAATTTTTCTTATTTTGAGATTTAACCATTCTTTAGCAATCCAAAATGCGTATAAAGGTTGTTTAATTACTGTACTACTTGATATAACATCACATGGTTAGACGAACATATTTCGTATTCCACTTAAATAAACAGTTTATAACCAATGAAAGTTGATTTCGCTATCTAGTAATAGTTGTATTGTAGTAGAAGATTTCCATCAAAATTATATTACTAATTGGTTGTGAATGAGCATATGTGATGTGTCATCTTTTTGATGACTTTCAAATGAATTAGATACTTAATAATTAAGGTAACGTGATACTTTTTTGTTTGATATTATCACTAATGCACTGTTAATTTAATTGTTATTCACGTGTTTATTTGTTGTTTGTACATTTGGTCACTTGTAGCAATCAACATAACGAACACATGTATTCATGGAAATCACACTTTTCTTGGATTATGATGTCTAGTCTTTGGTTGTGACCAGTGAATTTACAGAAAAAAAACCCAGAAAGATTGTTATCCCTGTATTTGATAAAAATATAAGTATAGATTCGTGTATATAACCGTAAAAACAGAGGAAAAATATATCGAACTGTTGTGTATTCTAACGGAATTCATTGGACAGGAGGAAAACAATTTGATAGAACAATAATTGTGTAGCTGATTCGTGTGTCTTGAAAACACCGACCAAATTTCTCCAAAGTACATCATAGCTTTGTTCTTATAGTTATCTCTGTTTGATTATTGTAATACCGCACTCTTATTTCTGTAGAACTTTCTGGATACTATAATTAACAATTTAAGCGTTGGTATTGTGATAAAGAATGTTACTTGTTTGACTTCGAGGTTTTCTTACACTATTTTCATAAATTGTATTGATGTCTTACAGGAATAGTCAAATGATTTCTATTATCAGTTATGTGAAATACTCTTAGTGGTGAGAATTTATTTTCGCAGCTAGTATGTATTACTTACAAAATGAAGTTTAATTTTTGTTATGTATTTAAAGTGTTTTGAACCAAGAATTCATAGATTCTTATTTTAAACTCGATTATTTCATATAATGATCTTAATTTGCCAGTTATTATCTCATTCGGAGGTCAGAGTGGTAACTATAGTGTATTTTAGTTGAAACACTAAATTCAAGAGGGATCGGACAACTGTTTCTTTCCGATTTGTTTTTTGACGCTAAGCGTTATGAACTGTAACTTGGATTAGATAGCTGGATATCACTCATCTGAATCGAAAATACTAGTGTTCATTGACTAAGATTCTTCTCTATCACGAAACCACTTAAGTACCTAGGTTTGGATCCCGATTTCATTATCATCCTTTTGATGGCTGTATTTTTGAGTATGGTTTTATGCAACAATAAATGAATTTATTTTCGCCTCCCATAGTTAACATAGTGAGGTGATTTAGTATCCCATAATTCAGATCGATATGAAATGCTTCAACTCTTAATTTAGCTAACAAAATTTAATAAAAATTCTTATTAAGATACACTAATTGTGTCATGAATTATTACTATACATATTGCAACTATAAGGATAAAATTATTACTAATATAAATATAGGTAGGGGAGTAATTGATTAGTTGTTATTTTTAGTAATATTGATTTGGGACAATTTAATAGAAATGTATGTTTACAGTTTTTGTGGAGTATGCAAAATATCTGGGATTTCATTTTTTAATATAATCTCAGTGAGTTTATATTTTTTGTTATTCTTTTGGAACAGGTAGTACTGCTGGGGAATTTCGAATTATGCTATAAAACACCATTTTGCTTTGAATATTTATCCACCTTGGGTCATTTCATGATAAAAACTATACTCAACTCATGTCAATCTCTATTATTTATCTAGCTAACTTTCTCTTTAATAAGTCAAAATATATCCTCTGTAAATAGCAGGAATTCCGAAAGTTTTATTTCCACATAATTTAGTAGTAATAATGCTTCTAATATTTCTATATTAAAATAATGACTTATTGTTTTTGTATATTTAAAATAGGTGCATCATATAGTGAACATAGTAGTTTTCTGGAGTTAAAACAATTCATCACACGTCTTCATCCTGTACAAGTACAACCTACTGTTTTTGGTAAATCGATTACTATGACGAAAGATACAGTAAACAGCTGGTTGAAATGAAAAAAAAGTCACTGTCATGGCAAAGACCATTAGTTTAACTTGGATAAATTATTCGTACAGAAATACTTTTCTTGCTTCTGTTAAATAAAATATTGATTTATGGAAGATACTATTTTTCTTATTATTGGGATAGTCTATCAATCAAATATATACTAAATTGTTTGTTTTCTAATTATTCGGCTGCTTTAACTAAACAATTTGGATTTCTCAGCTATATAAGTTCCATGGTGGAAGTATGCGCGGTAAGGAACACATGCATCTGGGAAATAATAAGGTCACGGATTGGCTGGATGTACGCTTAATCTCTATTTTCTCAGTCAATCATAACTAAAGTAGGACCTGTTACCATACGTTCTTCAGTTCAAGTTGGCCTACCGTATATGCACAATGAGACAAAATTATAAAGACAAAAGTCAGAGTGATAGTAGTAGTAATAGCAGCGGTAATAGAACATATTAGGCACTGGCAATATGACTTGAGGAGGTAATCGATTTACGTACAAAAAGTATGAGATACTTTTCAAACTCAGGATCTAAAGAACGACGGAAAATGAATGTATTTATGCCACTGTTAATGTTTATGAACAATGTCACTCAAAGTCTCAGGGAACTGATGGAGTTTATCTCCCAGACCACGCCTAAAGGTCCTGCATCTCTAATCATACTTTTCAACAACCAATGGGCTGATGCCACGTTTTGGTTTGGCTATCCTTAGCTTTCTAACGTACTCCTACACCAGCCCTCATCGCACATCGATGTAGACAGTGGTTGAGTATACGCAATGCATACTTACTACTACAACTACTACGTCAACTGACTTGCCATTTTTACCCAATACCCTGCATCTAACTTCAACGTTGCTCACTTGTTGGTCCTAAAATACACGAACAATGCTTCAAAGATATCTGATCAAATTTTAGTAACCTATGCATATCGTCTCTTCTAACGGCCGTGTTTCGCATTCATATAATAGAACAACGAACTGCTGTATGGAAAACTTGTCCTTTGGTTGATACATGGACATCTCGCCTACACCACAAGTGATGTAAGTTGGCAAAGACTCATCGGGATTTCCGAATCCATCCCAAGATCTCATGAGATATGAATCCACCAAGGATGATAAAACTTACAAGTTGAGTAGTGATCGACTTTCTATCATTACTTCGGGCATTGATGCAAGTCACTTCGGAAGCACCGTTTGCAACCCAAATATGCTTACAGTGCAGCTCAAGGCGATCAGAGAGCTGCACTTGGTCAGCTTCAGCAAACAAGATTATATCATCTGTATATTCTAAGTCAATAATAGGATCTGCTGGTGGATCAATTTCTGAAAGGTTAGATGCCGACAGCATCAATCCTAAAACAAACGGTCATAAGGTTGAGGTCAGGGCCATTTATTGCGAGGATGGTTTCCCTTACATTCTGTACCTGTTTCTTTGATATGTCTAAAACATTATCTACTAAAACCTTTCTTATCTCCATTTTTTTGCTCTTTCTTTCCCTACTACTGCTCATCATTTCCTATAAATCATAATTCGGCGAGACTATAATTTATGGAAGAACCAACCACGTATAAGATAACGTCTCGGATTTTGGCGTGAAATTCACTCATCCATTTGGCTAAATAGAGTTTTGGCATTATAAATGATGTCAGTTTGCGATGAAAACCATAAATCTAATTTCTAACCTGAATCATCAACTGTAAATCATAATTCTAATTCTTCACATAGGTTTATAACCCTCATTTGTCCTGGTTATTAGGTGGACGCTCTCAAGGTCAGTCTAGCGTCGCTCAAAGGTCGTCCATAAATTATAGTCTCACCCATAATTCATAACACTTCATAATCTTAACATATCGGCTTTACCTTTTTGGCTACTGTCCTATCGCTATTACTACTGGCAAAATTGTCCGTCATAAATATTTTACCTAACTTGGACTGCATATAACAATTTGAACTACGACAAAACAACACCCTGTCTTCAGATTTTTGGATGTGATAACTCGTTCAACCAAACTGGAGCAGTTAGCATAGGTCAATTTCTTCTAACTACGATCGCACGATATAAATTAAGATTATTCTATACGGATAAAGGGAGGATTTACCGCCTTAATTAATGAAAAAAGTTCGTATATAGTATCTGTTTACATTGTCACCGTATGGCAATTTTAGGGTGGATAAATCAGTTATTAGAAGTCTTTAACAGAATGAAACGTAGGATGTTTTTGCGAAATCAATTTATGTAAAAAATAATGTGAAGCTTTATCAGTATTTTAGGTTGAGAATAATGAAAGTCATTACTATTATACTTTTTGAAAGACAGATCGATTTTCGTTAATGGAAACAGCTGAAAACAAAGGAATGAAAGACATCATACAGTTCATCTGAATATTAAAGGAAGTAGAATAAAAAAGATTTGTAGTCGTCGTCATACTGTATACTACCCAAAAAATATGTAGAAAAGAACAAACAAGGCAGAAAATGCATACATAGTGGTTTGAATGAAACACATTAGTGTTCATTGATAACAAAAATCCATCATTCGATAAATGATCCATGTTAAATTGCTAGCCCGTAAGTATAATTATAGGAAATCAGCTGTGAAACGACTGGTTTTTTTCATATTGAGTGGAACACCGGGGGAGCTGTCGTAGCGGAAATGATGTTCTGTGCAAAAAAGATTGCAGCATGATGCACAATAATTACGATATAATTATTTCGGCTCTAATGAGTCTGACACATTGGAGTTTGACGCTTGATGTGGTTCACGTAAAGTTGAATCGTCATTAGATAAATCTGGCGCAGCTGTATTAAAGTTTAAGCATGTAAGTTTCGTGAGGTCTGTAAAAACACATGGTCTATTTTCATCAAAACCATCGTCATCATCGTAATTGTGGTAGGTGAAGGATTCATTGGATTGATAATTAAAACCACCTGAAGATATTAGTTCCGCTTCTATAGCAAGACGACGTTCACGTTCTTCTGAAAGCATTTGACGAACTCGACTGAGCTGGGATGCCAACATGTCCACCTTAAAAGTTCAGTAGGAGGAAACAAGATCATCACACCTTAAAACACACTGATAAAAAAGAAATCGATTTTAACCAGACGGTAGTTAGTTGATTTTCGTTGAGACATAATAACTGCAGGAACTAGTCACTTTTACTGACAACAATTTACAGTCGTAGCATTATAATTATGATACGTGCAGTTATTTAGATTTATTGGAAGCCAAAGTCGATTGAACTTTATAGCTTACATTACAAAATAACTTCAGACTAAAGTCAGTTCGTGACGTACACTATAAAATTTGAAAATTTCCAAAAATCTCCGGCATTAAAAATAGATTTAATTATGCAAAATACAGTAAATTCTACATAAACACTTGGCTCCTACGGTAAGAACAAAGTACTGATATCCCATTTGATAGCTGGGAACCAGGAAGATGTTTATTCAGAGTAATTATTAAAGTGATGCAATATTTGTTGATGAATGACTACTTGATACACTATTTAAGTACGGGTTTGGATTTTCAGCTTTGAGCTACACTTTGTGTGTAAGGGTTAGTAATTCTACCTAAGTGACTGAACAGAAGTAAGTCTAGATGAGTAGGAACCTGTGACCTAATGTTTGAAAGTCGAGCACTTCAACTGCTAGGCTACTTTCCCTCTCCTCCATTAACTTAGGTTCAAGAAGCTGTGAAATGATACGAGCTGCTCATATAAGTGGCTTAAAGACAAGTATGTAACCTGTACGTGGGAAAATGAGTATTATCAACAAATAACTGTTTTTTTGGAGACTAATAGCGTAATCTGCACCTTAATATCTAAATTAAGCCGGTGAAGTGAGGTCTTAAAACGAAGGATGGAGTTAAATAGTTGGATAAAGAGATAAACATGGGGGGAATGGAAAAAAGTATCAGCAAAGTGGTCTTACCTCAAATTAGTACACGCAAGAGATGAATTCGAGTGAAAGTAACAACTGGATTACAGTGACAGGAATTGGTGAAACAAGACCAATTCCATTAATGAATAGATAAAATGTCAACTATTTATCTAAATGAATTTATATTTCTCTCAGATTATTGCTCAAAACAGTTGTAAACACTTTTCTTTAGCCTATCTATATTCACCATCCTGCTCAAAACTCATTAAGATGAGTGTCTCAACAAATACTTATTCGCCAGAACTCCATAAAATATTCTGAAATTTCTGTTAGGAGTTTTTAATCAATACTACTGCTATCTTCACGTCAAATCGAACCTTTTAGGTTAATTATGAATTAATATACCCTCTACAACATAGTTGATTTATATATACAAACACAAAATTTTCATTATATAGTCGGGTTCGAAGAAATTTCTAGCTGTAAGTTTTGAAAACTACTCAGGAGTATGGGTAAAAATAATCCCGAAGATCTAATAGTCGCCAAATACCCTATACATGTTTATTCATGGATTAGTTAATCTATCCAGGAGTTAACGACCGTGACAAGATGAGATGCCAGAGAGATTACAATGAAAATATGGTTTACCATAACCCTCTTATTAGATTAGGTAGCGCGACAGACAAACAGAACAGAAGCTGAGAAACAAGTTTATGTTCATTGCTATTCACAATTTATTGTGATCTTAAACAATAAAGAGGCATCATTTTTTCATTTTCACAAAAACTGAAACATCAGGTAAGTGACCCTTGATGGATTAAAGGTGTGAAGCCGAAAACGCAGTAATTGTCTTGCTTGTTTCTGACAAAAGTTTGACTTAGGATATGCAGTTTTCGCTGGGTGGGGAGAGATGAGATTACGAGTTTAGGAAACTTTTCTGAACAAGTGATTAAGTTGGATAAAAATCATTTGTTTTTCCCTCAAAAAAAAAAACTCACAAGTTTTCGAAGTTCTTCGATACAGGTAACTAATTCTTCACGTGTTTGAAATTCAGTTTTAGGAAGTTTAACAGCGGCTCCTTGTTCCTTTTTATTGGACGTTTGATTTGAGGATAAAGGTAAGTATGACGGAGAGTCAGCTGATTTTCTGTTATAAAATGAATGGTCAGCAGGAATTGTCTTCAAAGAAACGTTCTGGTCACCAGATATTATTTCTGTCTTCCTTGATACCGCCTCACTTAAGCTCAGTTTCAGTGATGATAACTGTAAATCAATAATTACATAATCATGATCGCCCTCTTCAACTTCGTCTCGGGTTAGCTCCATGAAGGCTTTAGAAAGTAATAGAAAGTTTGATAGTTATAGGCTTAATATAGACTAAGGAGAAAATAGCACTGTGCTACACATGAGCAGTTTCAAGTTGGGATAATTCCTAGGATTAGTGGCTTTATTTATAGATCCAGATTGCATTTGCACTGAGCAGATAAACATAAACAGCACCGTAACTAGTGTGAATAGGAAGCGATAGAATTTGCCACACGTTTAGCAAAAGCATAACCACAGAATCGTAACAATTGTTACTCATCTTAAGATGAGTGTCGAAAAGAAAGTGACTATACTTATCAGAATAAAAACTAAAAAGCATCAGTGGAAAGTCTAGAATCCTTAAGGCACCATAAAAAATACGAACGTAAGCAGAAACGAGACAGTGATGACTACGATTTATATAATCACTTTGGTTCATAGAGATATATACATACATAAGTTCGAATGCCAGCAAAGTTAGAAGCATAAATATTGGGCACACATATAAGTAAAAACTGACATTAGATCGAGTGCCGAAAGAACATTAGTTGCTTACCAATAGACTTTTTATAGTAATAGATCGCTCCGTCGATATTTCCAACCTTCATACACTGTTTAGCACATCGCTCATTAAAGTGAGCCTGATGAAGATTAAAAAGTTTTGAAAATTTTAGGAAATCGTTGATACTGTATTGGAATTTGTAGCATTTACAAAAAATTTAACATACCGCACTAAGATTGCTATGCATTTCAACAAGTAGCTCCATATGCATAATTAAACGAAGCGCTTATTTCCGTCGTTTTTGACCTTGAAAAGAAAAACCTTGTTTTCGCTTTCTAATTGGTTCGATCTTGTGACCTTGGAGGGTACTCCCGGTTTCGTTTGCCTACTGATCGTTAAGATAATATTTCTCCTTAATTTATATGTTTGGCTTCCGACACTGTTTATCATCATGGTCCATCAACTGACGTGTTATTTATTACTTCCAAAGAGGCAGAAGATCCATTGGAATAACCTCATTTCTTACTAGACCCTAGTTACATTGCAGTAAAAATTTCAAGTGACCTGTTCTTTTCAATCAAATCTAGGCACAATCTGCGTGACTATATCTTACCAAAGCAGTTTTCAGGGTAATATTATCTGAGTTTCTTCCTAAAAAGTTCGGATCTCTAATTCTCCTTATTTCACGATTGATGGATGTTATGTGCTTCACGAATTCTCCCTACCAGATGAAGTAAACGGAAATCCGACGTTCGTTGTTTACATATCTTGAAATTATAAATCAGATACTTCCTGAAAATATGGCCAATGAAATCTCTGGAGCACAGTCATTAGACGATTATCACGTGTCTTTCGATTCATTTCATTCAGGTGAAACTCCCAAAACAGCATCTGACGCCACAAAGTTTTTTCTTATTGATGCAAATGAAGTTCTAAATACTCCAACTGCAATATCTAAGACTTCAAGTTCAGGGGGATTGTTTTTTGCCGATGATTTTCACAAACGTCTACCTGTCCTCAACTCACTTCCAAATGACCACCATTCTTCAGTAGCAGTAGAATGCGAACATCCTAATGCAACCGGTGAGTGTTCTAAACGTTTTCCTGGCCGTATTATAACTTTCGGTAGTTTAAATATGGTCCTAGCTAACTTGTCTGTCTACTAAGTTTCGTTATCATACAAACTATTTCAGCTGCTTTATTATGTTATTTGTCCGAACTTCTTCCAATTTTGTGCTTAGTGACATGACTTAACTGGTTCATGGGACTATTGTTTTTCAAGGTATTGTTGAACCCCAGTTAAGCGTGGATGTCAATAATCGTGTCTCAAACGCACGAACAATCCTAGTGTGGTCACTTACTTGACCTCATCTGACCAGTAAGTTGAGCCAAACTCATATACCTTATGTATATCTGAAGTCATGTTAGTGAATTTTTTCCTGTGCGAGCACAACAGCGAATTTGAAATCAGAAAAAGCACCTCTCGACATGATCGTTTTCGAAAAAATGCTTGTATGCATTCCGTCTCTATGTTACAATGGGAGCCATTCCTTCCTTGTTTTTACCTATATGTATAATGACTGTAGCTTAGACGGGGTAAAAGAATAAGTCTTACAGGATACTGTGACCTTCGGGAAGTTTAGGTAACTTAAAGCGAGGAAGTTAAGTGGGTCCTGGTGGACTAACCTCAGAGGTCTTTTATGGTAATAGTCCACTTTTAGCCGCTAAGTTGACCGAGTTTGGCAACTAAACGTAGTAGTGTTGAAACTTCTGTATTCTATAATTATCAAATTCTTATCTAGTACTTGGTAAGAGCAAAGTTGTTTAACTGGGAAGCTTCTGACATGGATGTGAATGTAATTACTAGATGTTCACTCTTCACGAGGTTTTAAGCACAAGGATACTTACCGACGCCCAACCATAGTTTTATTCCGTGACATCAAATTGGCTTTCTACTGTTAACGAAGAGATTTTATGACTGATTGTAATTAAAATATGGAACAAAGTGTATTAACCTTGTGAAGAATCTACTCGACCACCATTGGTTATCAGTGTTGACGGCAAATTATTGTTGAAATGGTCAACATCGAGTGGTGTTTCTCACGACTGTTCACTATCTCTCTTTCTATTTAATCTCATCGTAGATATATTCTTAGAAATAACATGTTCTTCCTCTATAGGGGGGCAATCTCGAACCAAGAGGTTCACTTATCGTCAAATCATGAAGTGATGACAGTCCATAAATTCATTAACTATTGGAATGTATGATAGTTTTGCACACTACCGAGTTGGGGTCCATGAGATAGCCCTAATCAATGTCTGGAGACTTTTAGTGACATTGATCATAATTGTTTACAATGGCGTAGATGCATTTACTCCTAATCTTCCTCTCGATCATGAAATCCAGTATTCCTTCACATTTACTCTCACTATTTCCTTTCGAACTATATTCTCAATGCTTACTCTTTTTCATCGTCAATACTGCCACATTATTTAATCTCTCCTAATATGTAGCTTTTTAGTTCCATTATCATACTAATATAGTATGAAGATTTAGACTAATACTACGTTGATGACGATTGACTGACTAAAGCTGATATAAATTCAAGTGATTGAACAAAACAATAAAATCTATGAAAGGTCTTTTATAATCGTCCAAAGTTTTGGATTAAGAAATTCCAACTAAACTTTATTATATCCCTGAAAAAAGTTGTGGTAGTCATTTGTTGAACCTCTGCTGAAGTAATTTCCAATAACAAGTATAAGGAAAATGAATAGATCACATCTTTACTAACTAATATCAGAAAACGTCATAAACATGCCTTTACACCTCTAGTCAGTCATAATCAACGTAAAGCTTGGAGTAAATTCGCACTAGACCAAGTTGCTATACCAAATTAACACAACTAAGTAAAATTAATAAGATGGATAATGAAAAGTTCATAATAATATTGAGAAGAATCAAATATTGATCATATATTGTTCGTTAAAAAAGGAATGAAGACAAGGTATGTTGAGAAGAATACTGAGAGTGTATCTGCTACACTGCAACGGATCCTGAAACAAGTGACCCAAGAGCTTCAACAACTTATCACTTAGATTTCAATCATTTAATCAGCACCTACCAATACGACTCCGTTTCAGTCAGTGATTTCATAAACAATTGGTGCCTTGGTTTGGGCGTCCCTAGCTTTCTCTCAGCCGTCATTGCATGTCGCTTTGGACGGTCTATGAGGGTATGTAACACACCTCAACCATCTCACTTTATGAAGATTGATAGTTTCATTAATCGACTTATCGAGGCCACGTTTCGTAGCCATAAAATAAGACGAAGACTGCTGTATAAATTGGGCAGCGAAAGGAAAGGGGATTGAAAAGGCGGCGGCTGTAGGTAACACAAGACAGCTCTTCGGACTAACAAAAGAAACTGGAATTAATAAGTTAAGTGCAAGTGAGACGATCTCGGAAAAAGACGACACTCTTGTCTACTCTCAGCCCAGACGTTTACAACAATGGGCGGAACACTTTAGAGAACAGTTCAACTGGCCTTCAGCAACTCTACAACTACCCACCATTCCCAGACAGCGTGAATGGAGCATTGAATAGGTCACCCGACTCTAGCTAAAGTTCAAAAGGCTACAGCTAGTCTGAAGTGGGGAAGAGCAGCTAGTCCAAATGGATTGGCTCAAGAGATCTTTAAGAATGGTTGTCCAGTTTCAGCGATTAGGTTGACTAGCATTTTGGCTAAAATCTGGGAGTTGGGCTTAATCCCATCTGACTGGTTACAATCCCTGATTGTCCCAATATATAAGAAGGGGTCAGAATCATGTGATAACCATAGAGGGATTAGTTTGACCAACATAACACCTAAAATACTAGCCTCATTAATTATCGGGCGCCTAACTATGACTCGTGAACTGCAAACACGTGAAAATCAGGCTGCCTTCAAACTTGATTGTGGCTACACCGATCACACATTCACCATTAGTCAGGTTCTAGAACACAGGCATGCTTATCGGCGTCGATAACGGTTGTCTTTCTTGACTTAAAAGCAGAATTTGACTCTGTTGACTGAGAGGTTCTGTGACAGTGTCTGTCATTGAGAGATCTACCTCAGAAGTACATAAACCTTGTGAGGGCTCCTTACTCGAACACTACCAGTCGAGTCAGAGCTTATGGCGAACTGTCATCTGATTTTTCAACCTCAAGTGATGTCGGGTAAGGCTATCCACTATCACCATCTTTACTTAATTTCACCATGGAGCTACTGCCCGAAATAGCGTTCTCGTCGACCGAATCTTCGGGAATCGAACTTCTGGGAGGTCCATTTATCGACTTAGGATAAGCAGAAGATATAGTTCTGTTTGGTGAAAAAGCTGATGAAATACATTTTTTTGGTAGCACTGAGCAACAATACCGGGATGTTTGGGATGCGTTTCTCCCCCCTGAACACATTACCACGACGCGCAATGCTAACTAGTGTTGGAGACAGTTGGAAGAAAGTTAGGGGCGGCCAAACCTAAACATAGCATCGGTCCGTAACATCACTGACTTCATGTCTGAGCCATGTTGGTGAATGCAGACTACTTGTTTGGGGTCCGCGAGGCTATCGTAACCAATGGTTGGAGACCCTGAGTGACATGGCTCAGAATCGATCACAACTATGTAGGTGTATGCACTCTCTGTCTTCCCTTAAGAGAATCAAATCGCTTCATATCTTTCTTTCTGCTAACTAATTCTTTCTTCCTGTACTATGTCCTTATATGTAATCTTTGTTTTATATACTACCACCATTGAATTAACTACTTGTATGAATTCGATGTTAATCTTGTTGTGCTAATGACTTGTGGCAACTTGGACCGGTGCATATATATGCCTGGTCCTACGTTGTAGCTGACTGATTATCATATAAATGACCCTTAGTAGACTAATAGGTATCTCACTCACTATGTAGTGCGCTCAAATTCGCGAAAACCAAGTGAGGTTTCTTAATCTTAGTCAATATCCCATCGTGCACCAATCTTTAAGGACTAATAAAATTGTCAAGATAGGTGAATTAGTCAACACGCTCGGCTATATCTTAATTCAGATCATTCTTGGAACAACACTTTAAACTTGGAGGGAGAGGAATAAATGTGTTTAGTATTAGATGCCACCACTGTATATTCTCTATTGCTTCCTTTGGGCACCACTTCTCCTAGCATGTAAGTCCTTTTTCATTCTGTATTTGTGTTCTTTCACTCATCATACTTTAAACGTGGCAAGATAAGTTTCAGACTGCTTAGCAATTCAATAGAAGCTTTCGAAATACATGGGTCTTTCTTAACCTTTTAATTTGGTTTAAGGTCTTGTATAACTGCAGCATATACTATGGTTGATGTCAATATGATGTATTTATGTCTATCAGGTTAGGCATTATCGCTCCTTATCCCTACAGTTAATACACTAGAAATTATAGGATTGATATACTACACGATTCACCCAAGTGTATTTCGGGTACGTTACGTTCATCAGAGTTACCAACTTTCCCCACTGTTATTTAATCGTGACAGATACTCTTTAAGAGGTAACTCTTTTTTTGACTTTTCGAGTATTTGTCTACTAGATTCACTTATTGACTTAGAATACGCATATGTCATAATTTGATAAAAACACTAACAAGATGAAAATCTGGTCAGCGCTGGTAGGTTAGTGCTTGAAAAAGTTTTGGTACGGATACAGTGAACTCACCAGCTTTCACACCTGCACCACAAGTGGAATTTCTGTCCGTCAATAAAAGAGTGGGTATTTTGCTCATCAGTTTCCTCCGTATTAATATATGGCTGCTAACCATGATCATTTGAAGTAGAAGACACATATAGGTTCCATGTACTTGACCGTATGTGCATTCAGAGTTCGTTTTCACGTTGAGAACTACCAAGTGAGTGGTCTTGAGTTTATGTGGAAGGTATTGGGAAAAAAGGACAAGTTCATCAATGAGCCTGTAAACCCACACAGGCTTAGGTGGTTGAACTGTGTGTTAAATATACTTAATTATCTATCATCCCGATATTGAATGTTAGCTGGTATGGGACCAAGTTGACAAGAATTTATAAACGTGCAAAAACATGGGATCTTTCCATGAACAATATAAGATTATGTGCTGTTAGAGGTGTACTAATGGTTAGTACTTCCCAATTATCCACATCTCGGAAAGATACTTTTTCAGGAATGTAAATGGAGACCAGTTTGGTTATAATATTGCTTAGAAGCATGACCATAGAGCCTGTGAGATAACTGCTTAAGATTGGTTACGCGTAACTTTTTTGTGAATAGTTTCTGGAACCATTATCTTTTTACTCCCTAGAGATTACCTTCAGCATCAGAAATCCATGGGTTGATGTGTTTTCAGTGCTAACTTCATTCCCAATCCATTACAGTTTCTGTTCTGCAGCACCTGTGATCGGAAGTACATGTAAAAGGTCTTGGGTAGCGATATGCACTCATGAATCCCTTTACTTTCGAAGGTGTGAAAATGATGAGGTTGGTTTAAGAGAAGTGTAAGTCAAAATCCAACAAGTTGCCGGTGCGGTAGTGCTAAAATTTTTAATGAAGTTGGTAAAAAACTGATTTTCCGCACTGGCATTTCTTGTAATATTTTGAGAGGTAGTAACTACTGCGTTGTAATTCTTTAAATTGTTTGTCCTGGATGGTACAAGTAATAAGCCTTCTTTATCAATGCAGGTTTTTGGTATAGATTGTTAAATTTCTAAGAGATTTATTTTGTGAGGATATGTAAATGGTAAATAAACACTAGCTTTTTATTTTTAAAAACAGATAATACTGAGAAAACTGGTGTTCCACATGCAAATCCTGAGATTTTACAAACAGAAAACTTGTTTATACCCCAATTTGGATTAAATCAGCAATCAGAAGTTAACACATCAACTGGGTCGTCTGTGTTATATTTAAACCATCTTTCTCCTGACAGTACTACAGCAAAAATTGATTCTGTGCCTGTTTCATTGAAATTAGAATCAGGTGATAATACTGCAGCGTCTTTCCAATCAGTTATTACTAAAGCTGATAATAATGCTACAGTTGGACTGAATGATTTGCCACTCTTAACTAGTGCACTATCAAATCTTGAAAACACGTGCATCACTGTTGATCAGACGGCTGCTTCACAGTCGAATTACCTGACAAATAGATCTACTACTACAACCGCCAGTCTACCGACGATATCTAGCGCTGTTATCCTTAGTAATGTTGGCCTTACACAAAATCCTTGTTTGTCTGTTTCAGCAGACACTAATCCTGTTTCCGGAATAGCTTTTTCAGCTAGGAATCAGCCTCCTTACATACCAGCCCCACTTGTTCTTGGAAACGGGCTAACACTAACCACATTGTTGACTGCTGAGAACAGTAGTGGTCTTCTAACACCTACAACTCCCAACACTGCTTTCTTGCCACTTCTTGCATCCCCTGGTCCCGGAGGATTTTATACACCTGGAGTGTTAACTGGTCTAGCTAATCCGACAGGTACTTTTTCATTTCTATCCCCCGTTCCTAACCTATTGGCAAGTGGTAATGCGGAAGCAGCTAATATTTCCATCGGTGGGAGTTTCGCACAGACTTCTGTTACAGCGGATACTATAGTCAAGCAAGAACATATGTGCTTCACTGACACAGTAACAGTTGATGATGGTTTAATCAATACAACACATAAATCCGTTATAAATAATCCTCCTGAATGTGCACCTGATACAACGGTTGTCACTGAAGATGACGTTGGTGATAATGAGTATTTATCTAAATCCACGCTGAAAGGTGCTGGTATCTCAAGGAGGCGCAAATCGACAACTCGTAATAAGAGTCGAATAGTTAGAGGAGAATATGGAGTTCATTCTGAAATAGAAATTCAGGCAGGAATAACATCTAGTATACCTGAAAGAATATCAGAAAAGCCTCACAAATGCACTTCATGTAACAAATGCTTCTCACGATCCGATGAACTTACAAGACATGCAAGAATTCACACTGGTGCTAAACCTTTTAAGTGTGCTGAATGTCAAAGGGAATTTTCGCGTTCAGATCATCTAACTACACACATGAGAACACACACTGGTGAACGACCATTCGTTTGCGATATATGTGGTCGCAGTTTTGCTCGTTCTGATGAACGTAAGCGTCATACAAAAGTGCATCAAAAGAGTAATCAAAAACTTCCTAACTGTGACTTGAAAGTGAATGTAACTAAAAGTCCAATAACTTCGACCTCTGATCCTAAGACAAACTGTGGCGAGAAACGTAGCGTCTCACAAGCGACAAAATGTTACGACACAGCTAAAAATCCTCGTAAACTGAAAATAGATCTGGCAGATAGTTCTACTTTTCAGTCTAATCCTATAAGTGTGGAAAAAGTAAGTGTACTTAACGATGGAATCAGTGTTAATCAACCTGTCCCAGAACAAAGATTACTTCTCGCTACTTGTGATTCTCATCCCGGGCAGCTTACTTTACATGCTTTCCCTAGTGCTACAGGTTTAGGTGGTTCCAGTGTCATATCGCCCCACTCGCAATTAGTCTTTGCAGCTTTGCCTTCTATGTCACTCTCCGCAGTTCCTATTTTGAGTCAAGTTAACACTGAGATTGCAAACACTTTCAATCTTGCCACCGGAACATTTGCTACACAACCTCATGGTCACTTTTTGGCAGTGTCATCGACACCACTGTCGAGCTGTATTTCTAATTCTTCAACTGAAGGTAATATAGTGGTATCGCAGAACCAATCTGTTTCTTCAGTCTCCCCAAGCTTTGCGTTATTATCTACCATCCCATCACAGCATCAAAATGAAATGAGCACAGAATGTGTGCATGGTACTTCCATGAACAATGTGATATCATCGACGTGCATCACAACACCGACCATGCCAAATTGTTACACTATCCGTGCTTCACTTTTTCCCCAACCAGTTCAAACATATCCTTCCGGATTTCACCATTCTCAAACTTCGCCCTATTTCACTGCTATAGCCTGTTCTCCAGACGGCCTGACTGCTAATCAAGCTGGCGCATTTTTCGCTCCTATGATAGCTCCCACTCAGTTACCCGCTAATACGACTGTTTCAGGCACCGATCTCCCTACCAGCTTCCATCCAACACAAGCTAATCTTCAGCCGGAATTTGTAGCTACAGCTGATGGTGTTTCTCCTACCAGTTTACTTACAGGCACCCCAACATGTATTTTTATTACTCCGAATCCGTAAGATAATTCGCTTCGTTTTTATGCTTCATTAGCTTCGATTTCTTTACTGTCTTGTAACTTTGTTCTACACTCATCAATAATATCTATTCTCTTGCTGTTTATGTATTCTGTTGTTTACTAAATCTGTGATTTCGGTTCACAACTTTGAGTGTCTATGTAGGGCTGTGTCACATTTATTTCGTTATATTTTCTGCATGCTGATTTTGCAGAAACAAGTGAATACCGTTTTTCCTTAACTTGACTTTTGATGTGTAAACAATTGTAAATGATGCTCAGATGAATTTTCTATTGGTAAACATATACTCTAACGTATTGATTCTATAAAGTCAAGTACCCAATGTTTTTATCTACCTGTCAGGTTTTTTGGTTCACAACGAAGTTTTCTGTACAATTAGTTTTGTTTGTGTTTATGCATGCTTATCTAAAACTATTTCATATTTTAACTTGTAAATGTTTCTTTTTTTGAACGACCTCACTTTTATTGTTCACGATTTGTGTTTCTATATAGCAATAAGTTATTTTTCATTCTTAATTCCACAGATATTATTTAAACTAGTATTTCACGTGAGCAAGACTTAGTTTATTATCTCCTATAGAAGCGCCCCTTGTATTTCTTGATATATGTACACCTACTTAACGTTTTACACCCTATTGTCCTGTCAATGTTTTTTTATTGTTACCATTATTCATTTTGAGAATACAAATGCTTTTTAATTTCAGTATATAATATCAAGCACTTCAACACAAGTTTTTCTTTTAATCATTTTACAGTATTATCTTATAATTCGGTAATGCATTGAGTTTTGTGCGTACATACATAACTGATATCATGTATACCCTTTGTTACCTTTTAAAAACATAAATCTTCAGATTATTTAGGACTTACTGGATACGTTGTAAAAAAGAGCTTTAGTATCGATCAGTTTACATAGTTGATTGTTTCTCTGGAAATTAAAGTACTTACGAAATGAAAATTCGATTCAAATTATTGGATTCTGTTGTCATTTGTCTTAAATCTCGTTTATGGTACACATCACGTAAAACCTATTGTCTAGTGATATGAACCAGTGTTTACCGAGATACAATTACTGAATTAATTAATATTTGAATCCGCTCATAATCTAAAATGGTTTTACTAATGGTGGCTTTTTAATGACAGACTTTAAATTTCACACTCTGTGCTACTATTCATCGTAATCAACCAGCATTTCCTTTTCTAAAGTGTCAATTATAATTTTATTTGAATCCCGTCCAAGTTAGTCTATATTTCAAAAATAAAACTACGTCTAAGCTGTTTTTTGTGAAGTTAAATTTCGTTTGATACATAATCTTAACATTTTATTTTTATATCAATATGTAACAGATAAGACTTTTACCATAATACTCTGTAGTTTATTAAATAAATAGAAAATTAGGATTCTTCATTGATGTATGGTGGATATGGAGAAATCATATTTCGTTCAACGGCAATAGACAAGGCTGTTCGAAATAATTGTTCTGGTCTTGAGAATAAATTATGAGAGTAAAACATGACTAGGAATTTTTGACAGCCTCTGACTGTACCGCTTGTATGATAAATGTCGATTACCGATTTCCTTTTTTGTCCATCTGTTAAATAAATTAAAGCGTATTTCAATGTTTTATTTATTTGTATATAAACTAGTTTAAATAAGATTTTGTTTTTCTTAGATTCAGTTTATGCATCGAGGGAAATAATTACAGATGCTAGTTAAGGTTTATCATATTTTCCGCCGTAGCACATTGTAATGTATGATGCCTTATGCTTTGTATCTTAATAATTACAAGCTAAAGATTCAAAGAGTTGATGCCACATGACATATTATGAAACATTTACTCCTTTCTGATATATATATATATATATATATATATATATATATATATATATATATATAAGTTTTCAAAGTAAAATAATTTTTTAGACTTACTGAGATCTAAGTGAGTAACCAAAGAGAGTGCTGTTTGGACGTAAACAGACATGCTACGAAGGCAACGTATAATCAATAAACCGGAAGCAGGACACCAGTGAATTACTCTTAAGCGAGACATACATTTACCGACTCCAAGTGAACCGTGTGTAAGGGTGATGTTTTGTTTTATCGTGGCTAATAAATCAGACTCGCTCAAGCGCATCGCCGCTGTATCCTCCTTTTGGCAGCCAGGATAACCTGGTATAAATGAATTGGAATTTTGAGGTTGAATCGAAATGAAACAAACGAGGTATCGATTTTTGATACGTACCATTGGGTCTAGAAATAAATTAGAAATCATACCAGGTCAGTGGTAAAGAAATTAATCTTACATTATTACGTAATAGTCAACTTCATCTTGAAATACCAATAGGATTTACTTGTTGAGACAGTATTGAACCTTAACAAAAAACAAACATGCATGAGTAATGTCGATTTGATTGAAATACTTAACATATATACAGGATGTCCAAAAGGGTATTTTAACCAAGATTTAATTCAATTCAGCTTTGGTTACGAATAATAATATAGAATTTAAATATTTAGACTTCATTGTTTGAACTGTTTTTTTAGCTTGACAAACGTTTTACTGTTATGCAGGACCTAGTTGTTTTGTTGCAATTTTACGTAATTTTGGCAGGAAAAAATTCGTCTTGGAAAGAATGGTTAATGAAATCGAGATTTTTGATGAAAAACTCATTACTATGACACAAACTTGACCATGTGAACCGCGATATCCTTCACACTTCGGCGGGTTTTTAAATGCGCTATTAAACTATCGACTCGACAGTTTGATGAATTATAACAAATTCGTTATCACTGGTGTCAAACACTGTTGGAAGTACATTCATTATTTCTTCGATTGACTCAACAGATATGTAATAAACAAAACTAGGTTTCGGCGATGAAATTTCACTTTTTTATTATATAGAGATTGGGATAAACAGTTAGTGGTGTACAACTTCAACTGAACATATTTGCACTTTCGGATCGATCCAGTTTTCAGTTACCTAGAAAGCCCGATCTGCCGTCGTAAAAATCCAGGGATAACTTGAAAATGACTGAATCTGGAGGTAGACATACATACGACGTCTGACAGTGGTAGACGCTTTCGCTCTAGTCTAGGCGAGATGTTAGTCTACCTGTTAAACTACGTCCGGTTCGTATATTGGTCAGGTTCTATATTGTTCTTGACTAGATGTCAAAACCACATCACTGGAAAAATGCTTTGAATGGTAATGTTAAGTTATTTTCTCGAAAAGAAAGTACAATTTATTTTGTTGACCTAATATAGTAGGACTAAATTGAGTACACTTGTCCATATGTTTACCCCAACAATGCTGGAAATCAAGCTATCAGAACATTAACATTGAACCAAAGATTCAATCTGTTAAACATTCACCCAACTAACTGGGAAATTCATTAAATACAGAGATGAAATATGTTTCATCGATTGTCCTTTTTTGCATAAACATTGAATCGATAACACTCAGATACAAATATGAACAGTACAAACATTTACGCTAAACCATGAAAACATAGGTCAAGATTTTTATGATTTTAGTTGGGTTGGTTTTGATGGATAAAGGCCTAGATATATTTGGCTAACCTAGAGTGTGTCTATAACTCAATGACTTGAAGTTTCAGTCTAACCGATTTGTATGATGATTAAAAACCTGACGGACTTGGGACTTGAACAGAGAATACGACAAGCACCGATGACTAATTTAGATCCAGAAACCAAGGATATTTATAAATTTATATTTGACCTTGGTGTTCGAAAAGCCGGGAACATGCCAAAATCAATAATCATCCAGACGGAATATGACGATCCACAGCTTTTCCGGAACACTGGAGATTTCCTGTCTAATCCTGACTAGATGAAGTGTTTTCAGACTTTTCCAGCTTCTAAAGACTTTCGAGTTCTCAAGGTTTCTTATAAGTGATACTAATACTAGATTCTTGAAGACTTTATGACATCAGTTTTCCGATATATAAAATGACATTTTATCAACTCTTCAGAGCTCAGATTTTCTAAGAGGAATAATCAAGATATTTCTCGAACCCGTTGCCTATAGTCAGAATAGGTACTTGCGATGAGTCGTGAAACAGACGATTACATTTGAAAAGAAACGCACCAGGAATGTTTCTCTATCGTCACTCAAGATGTTCTAGAGACTCCACATTGTCACTATCTTCAATACACAGAAATACATCCTTTCTCAAGATATGTTGTTTTTTTTACCAGTCAAGCTTAATGAACGTAGAACATGTCACATATATAGATAGGTTCAAGTTGTCATGCCACATCAGTACAGAGAGACGAAACTAAAAAGATGAATATCAAAGAAGTGTAGTTAGTAGTATCCATAGTATCACACAATGTTTCCAAACACATCATGATTATCGTACGAACCTCAGCCAGTTGGTGAGTCTGGACCTAAAAACATGGAGTAATCTAAGTCTATGACTTGAAATCAGCGATAAAAGTAATGATGAAAATGAACAACTGGTATCGCAGAAGAGTCCATAAGAGCATAAAGCGAATCTCTGCATAGTGAGGATATTGTGGATGCTACAGGTGCAAATTTATTCTACCCTTTGTCATAGTAAATTTTAAAAGTGATGAGCCATGGAGAAGAGCATTCAGACAAGAAGAACTGATCGTATGAAATAATTTATTAACACATCGTGATATACAAACCATAGACATAACAGAAATTAGCATACAATTACACTTATGTTATATGTAAGTAGAAAATAACAATTAATAAGTATTGAATAAGTCTAATGCTATAAACAGTCATTAGTACTCACAGAAAAATGAATAATTCCAACAGGATTGAAATTGTTACTCAATGTAGTTTAGTATCAAGTGAAATCTCCCATAATACTTGTACGTATTGCAATAAATATAAACATATTTAAGTCGAATATGGTCCAAATATTGTTAAAACCAACCAAAGCCCCGTTAATCATTGATAGTGTAGTACGCAAATCATACAATAGAATTGTTTTCTATCAAACGTATGAAATCATTATTTTACAAGGTTAATAAGAGTGTAATGAAGAAATATTGAATTACACATACGATTACATACAGTAAAATTTGACAAATAATCTAGTATATCAACAATCATATTATATGTAAAAAAAATAAATAAGAAGGTAGAGAAATAAAGCTGAGAACAGAAATGAAATTTCAACAAAAACGAAATTAAAAGTTTGAGAAACATTATACACTAGCAGTGACGACAAGAATTTTTGTAAGACTTTTATTCATGATGCATAACGCTTTAAGATACATGAATAAAATTCGGTATTCAATTGGATGTTATTCAGATATAGTTAACAGTAATGAAAAATCATTCAAATTATATTCAATTAACTAGTAAACAGTTATCAAAAATGAAAATGTCGATTTGCATTGTGGAAAAAAGCGCTCAAAATAAATTATAAATTAAACAAGCGACAATAGAAATGAAGTAGTTTATCACATTATTATGAAAAATTATTCACGCAATTAATAACCAACCAATAAAAAATATAGCAATAAATAAACATATTTTTGACATTGTTTCTGAATCAGCTCCCCATAAATTGTCTGGTGGTATTGCTCGGTTGCTGACGCCATTAACATTGTGTGAATTTGCAGGATTGCTATTACCTCCTAAATTGAATGTTGTTGACAAGAAACCGAATGGAAATGCACCAATGCCCACAGACATTCGGAAATTACCTCCATCAGATCCACCGAACAATCCTCCCCATGTACTTCCAAAGCTTCCAACCCCCGGTTCTGGTTCAGTACGTCGACCAGCTGGGCGGGGAGGAATTTTAGTACGAGGGTCTTGTGTATGGTCCGCACCACGTCCATAAAGGGGGATGACCTAATGAAGGAAATTTAATAAAAATATTGTAATTTGATTACGGATATTACCGTACAATTTTTCATATTTGAGTAAAGGAAGAACAAGAATCATGTATTCTACTCAGTGGCTTGTAACATACAAACAGTTATTGAAAACGAAAAAAGTATAAACCATATTAAAAAGGTATTGAATAAAGCTGAGAATAATAAGAGACAATAATTGTAAGAGAATTAAGAATTGTCTAAACGCTCGCTTGTAGAGATAACCAATAAGATAAAAGTTAAAATATCATGGAGACAATTTTCTTTCGAAATAGAAGATATGTGGCAAAGATTACGTAAAACCTGGAAAATATAGAATTTTCGAGTGAAGCTCAGAAATACAGAATACGGAATGAGAAATCACAATTAGGATCATGGAGATGTTACGCAAGGCTTCCATAGATGAGATGACTGATGACAAATGACTAACTGTTCGGGGACTTTTAACCTATTCCGATTAATTAAATATAAACGATTAGTGTTGGTTGTTGCCGACATAGATGAATATACATTACCTGAATTTGGTTACTATAATTTTTTTCAAACGACGTGGGACTTACATTATAGGTGGAAACTTTAATATTGTTTGTGACTGGAATTAATTTGAAATATTTATTTAGTTTATGAAACAAAATTTTCGACTATAGTGAGATCTGAAGGTATTATTGTGCTACTGAAAAACGTAATAGTAGTTTGATTCTAAATGTGAAATTAATTTATATGGATGGGCCCATGTCGAGTTATAGTTTTATCAGCTCAGAAGTAGATTATTCAAAGAAATATTCAAGCTATTCTGAAGCTCATATTAAAATACGTGAAAGCAGAAACAATTTGGATATAAACAGGAGAACCAGTAGAATGAATGAGTGGGCGAAAAAAAGCTAAACAAAAAGATATAGATTCCAAAATATTTATACAAAGGAATAAAATTTCGAAATTGAAATACCAAGATTAATTTTAATGTCTTTTTTATGCGACTCAGGGTATTAGGGATGTTAAATCAGTTGCTGAGGTTGTGAATCTTCATCGACTGAGATGGTTGGGCCACCTGATAAGTATGCCTGAACACTGATTACCACGACGTGCAATGCTAACCGGTGTTGGGGATGGTTGGAAGAAAGTTAGGGACGGCCAAACCAAAACATGGCATCAGTACTTGAAGTCACTAACGTCTAGTCTCAGCCATGTTAGTAAATGCAGACTATCGTAACCAATGGTTGGAGACTCTGGGTGACATGGCTCAGAATCGATCACAATTGTGTAGGTGTATGCACTCTCTATCATCCCTTAAGCTAAGAGAATAAAATCGCTTCATGTCTTTCTTTCTTCCTGTACTATGTCCTTATATCCAATCTTTCTTTTATATATTACCACCATTGACTTAACTACTTTGATGAATCCGGTGTTCATCTTGTGTTAATGAGGTATGGTAACTTAGACTGATGCATATATGTGCCTGGTGATACGTTGTAGCCGACTGATACGAAGCATCAATAAACGCATAGTGTTTAGAAAAAATAGACTACCAAACATAAGAATGTGTAGATTTTAGGAATATAAATGACTTAGAACATTATAGTAACGGCGAATTTGCTTATCGTATAAAATTACCTTTAATAAGTTACTGTAATAGAAAAATAGAACTCACTTTATCACTACTGATAGCAGCCTTGCAAACAGGGCATACCGTGCGGGTTTCAGAAGTTTCAAGCCAACGATGAAGACATGGCCAACAAAATAAATGGCCGCACATGCTAACTACCGCATCTCGAGCTGAATCAAGACATATATTACACTCAAAAGATCCTGTTGTCCCATTACTATCAGTGGTCTCGGATGTGTTGGCTTGATTTGACTTATCAGGGTTGCTTTTAGGTATATTTGACTTCGAGGTAGAGGCGGCTGTCGATGTTTCCATTTATCCTTGTTCGTCAGTTGTGTAATATTTTACCTAAAAGAACACCCTGAACATCACAAGAAAATAGGAAAACCACCATAGAAATTATAACAATCTCAGTGCCAGTTACAGAAAATTAAAATGATTTACTACACATATAACAAAATCATATATATTAAGGATGTGACTAAAGGTGTTCTCTGGAACTTAGGGGAACTGTTATGATGAGATTTATTTGACGCATTATGATAACAGCTAGAACAGAAAAGAAAGATAATCCTGCTAACTTTAGTTATACACAGCATCACGACACGTCATGAGATAATAAATTTAAGTAGAATTAAGATGAAACCCTTGTCCATTAATTTACTCAGAGCTACACAACTTGAAATAAAACATCAAAAGAATCTCAATGAGTTGCTGATTAGTTTAAAGTATTGTTTCTTTAGATTTATTAATTGGTACAAATTAACGGAACATCGTATTGTTGATGAACTGTCAATATAAGGTCAATATAAACAAACGAATGATAGCCAGTAATCGGATTTGAAACCATCGGAACTGAAGTATTCACAAGGAATTGATATGTGCAATTAATTCTCAGTTTATAAGCTATGTAATTGAATTTAAAATATAAAATACACCAGTACGGAAAAACTGAATGCTCTGAAATCTTGAAGAGACATGCTACTTTTTATTATTTCAATTATGAGAATGGACTCTATGATGCTCATGTACTTCTTTAACTAGCTAGCACAACTGAACACAGAACGGTTGCACACGACTCACTACACATAGATCAAGACCAGTTACAAAAAAACAATTTAAAGTAAAATATTTGACTTTAAAACGAATAACCTGTTTACTATTTTATAATGAAGGGAAAAAATCTGGATCTTGATATTTTTTGTAATTCAATGAGCATGGCTATATTCAAAAATACATTAAATTATTTTGGCAGATGATATGAAATATAGTGGATAACTAGTCAATTATATGATTATTATTATTTTTCCCACTGAAACAATGGCTTAGTGGTTATATAACACTCCATTTTTATATTTACTACGTTATTGGCTAGAGCTAAGTTTCACCTATGTAGACAACATCGTCATTTCACATAGAAATTTTCGTTTAAAATCAAATATACGAATAAATATTCGCAAACCGATTTACATTACTATTTCTGATTTTTGTGACATAGGAATTAATACTTATAAAAGCATTTATAAGCTTTTTATAGTATGAGTTAACACTTTCCTAAACCGTTATTGTCAAGCAATTCTCACAATCTGTTCTGGTCATTGACCTAAAAGTTTTGCATCTTAATCAAGTAATCAAATCACATCAATGGCAAAAATGATGAAACTTTATAGACTTCTTATAGAATTTGTTGTGCAGTATAGGAAGATAATGATTTGTACAGATAATATTTCAAGACTAGGTATTATACACATAAAAGTATACTGGTTTGTAGAAAAATATAGTTAA